GGCGCCGCCACTGTTCCCACCCCGCCATCGATCCCTACTTCAAATACTTTACTGCCTATAAACATCTAGAATGTAAAAACAGTAAATAAAATGCCAACGAAAATGAACAATTTCCACTCTTGTGGTAGGTAGCTAATTACTTAATTATCCTTAATCAAAAATAGTTGTGTTCCAAAAATATATATACTTTTTCTTGTTGTGTACACAGTCGAGCAGCCTGAACAAACATCTACGAGTCCATAGCGGCGAGCGTCCTTATAAGTGCGTATACTGCAGCAAAGCCTTCACGGCCTCTAGTATCCTAAGAACTCACATTCGTCAGCACAGTGGCGAGAAGCCATTTAAGTGCAAACATTGTCTGAAATCGTTTGCATCACACGCAGCACACGACAGCCACGTCAGACGTACACACACTAAAGAGAAGGCGAGTGTATGTCAGTTTTGCGGAAAGACGTTCGCTCAATCCTACGAATTGAAATTCCACATGAGCATGCATACAGGTAATAAATGATACAGTACATTATCATTTTCTGCCAAGTGTTTTTTTAACGTGTGGGTTTTTATCCTGATCTATTCACGACACATTTCTAAAATAATAGAACAGTCATCTAAAATACTAATAATAATTACGATAATAATAATACTAATGATTATAATAACAATATTATTAAATACCGTAATAATAATAAAAGTTACTACTAAGTAAAAGATATAATAATACTGTAGTAATAGCAATAGTATAGCAAAACATAGTAATATTAATAGTGATAATAATAGTCATCATAAAGCAACATGTTGATGATAGGTTAAATATCTAGTATTATTGCAGAGGGGAGCATTTCAAGTAATTGTTTTGTAGATAGGTGTAATCGTTGTCAATGAACGTATAGTTTATCCGCCTCCATTATGAATATATTTCTTTTTGGGTAGAAAATAACTAATCAAAAGAAATAGTTCGGTAATGTTTTAAAATCATACGTGTACCACTTTCTGAAACCTTTCTGCTGATTGATTAATTGTTTAACCCCAAATGTAAATATTTAATTTTCGTTTAGAAATACTGGATCTATAAATGTAATACACATTGGAATATGTTTCCAGACTACTCTATCGAGTTAGGTCGCTCAGTTACACAATGATAAACTTATGATCTGTTTTAATTACAATAACTCAATACATTATTTTTGTGTGTTTTAGGCTTTGCCATGCCATAGTTTTTCTTTTTCTTTCGGAAACATATAGAATGTCAAATACTTATATTCTGCAGTTACCGTATTGCTTCCAGAATGTCGCCATTATGGTGCATAACATATGAACAGTTAGTTAAATCGTTAAATAGCACCCAATTCGTTGACGCTGTAGCCCTCGAGTAGTGTATGTATGTTAATCAAAAATGTCGTACATTAAAGGAGTATTTATTGAAATATTCCAATACATTCTCAACATGTCACCACCGGTGGTGTGTGTATATATATGTACATTGCGTCCTGTGCATGCATTTCGAAATTACTTTTAATTTTCTTCTCTTATAATCTGCAGTATGTGTACACGATTATTGTGCGAGAAAATACAATTCGGGATGATATTTTTCAATGGTTTTATTTTAGGTAAAACACCATACAGCTGCGTCAAATGTGGAGAGGAGTTTGTGACGTCATCAGCACGTGACCAGCATCGAGCCTCTGCAAAGTGTTCAGCAAGCGGTCCTAGTCAAGTGCAGGAAACATTGCCATCAGGACAAACTTTGATCCATAAAATAGTAAATGCCCTCACCGTTCCCATGGTTAACAAGAGTGACATTATCGATGCCCACATTAGACAAATGTCATCACGTCCACTTTTACCCCAGAGTAGAGATACAGAAAACTGCGTTAATGAATACTCGTTATAAATTATATGACTAGGTAAAGCTCTAAAACAACAACATAAAAACTCTGATAATAATAATAATTTAGTAATAATAATAATAATAATTTGATAATAATAATAATACTAATATAAACATAATAATATAAAAATGGCAATGATGATATATTGATGATGTTAATGATATTGGTGATGATATTGACAACGATAATGATAACCATGATCGCTTGTTCGTTTGTTTTTTTTGCTACCATTAATGAGCATTTAACAAAATGAAATTTGATGGAAACCAGGTTAAAATATAAGCTACCTGTTTCTATTTAATGAGTCTCTATACATTAACCTGTAATGTATTTGGACTAAGAACATATGTTTAACAATTACAACTTACAGACGTACTTTGTACTTAGCCTATCACACAATGGATCACACAATTACTATTCACTATTCTAATCAGGTGCGAATCCAGTGGGGGCAAGGGGGTACGTCCCCCGCCCCACAGTTTTGGCACTAAATTTTATTAATTAAATGCATAGGTAGGCCTATTAATATTACGTATTGAAGTAAGCGCTACTCACTTACTATTTTGAACATGTTGTGGCCCCTCCCCTACCCCGTTTGAAAATTCTGGATCCACCCCTGCTAATAGTATACCAATTTTCCACCACGAATAATCAATTTTTCGCTCATTTATGGCTCAAAGATACACACATTTTAGACCTAAACATATCCACTATATGGATGTGTGAAACGACGTCCGATCCTACGAAGGTACAACATAGGCGTATTCGATTACTGAAGCGGTTTTTCAATGTCGTTTGCGCTTGAATATTGGAATATATTGATTGAATATTTTAATTTCTCTCTAGAATTATTTTAAGGAGAAATTCAAAATCGGCATTGGATCATTTCTGTATTAAAAACGCAGATGCGAGAATAAAGCCGGGCACATACTTCGTCGGCCGACGTTCGTAGAATCCATTTCCGCTATCGGTGAACGATTACGCTGTCTGATTGTCATTAAAAATTATCCGTTGCGCACGCCTCGTCTAATGAAATTGCATCGTCGCCGACGACCATCAACGCACAGTGTTTGCCCGGCTTTATAACGTATTCTGGCATAAAATTCAACAAAAGCATAGAACGGTCTAAAAACTGGTAATATACTGCAAAACATAGCTATCAAGGCTCAACCGGTTTAACCAGCCAGTTTCATTTGGAAAAACCTTCGTTTTTGCCTTTCAAATATCTCTTCAGCTTTCTTGAATAATCTATAATCAGCCGACAACGCGTCATTCACGTGTTCATCAGATTTGAGTGTTTCTATCAAGTTTTTATGGATCTCACGTCTGCTTGATACATTTGAAGTAATATTGTTCGCGTCATTAGTAAACAGGCCTAGATTTGAATATGAACCACTGTAATTATCATACATTCCAGAACATTCCCTTCGAAACGGAACATCAAATACCGCGCTCATTAATTCTAGAGACAAATCATACTCTTTAGTTAGTCCAATAAAAGCAAACCATTGCTCAAAGTGTTTTAGTGTAAAATTGACGAGTGCATCGTATTCCTCCACGGAGAGCATATTCAATAAAATTACCCGTTCCCTGAACCAGAAAGGAGTTTGGAGGTACAAATCATTTTTAATGATATTTCGTTTATAGTACTCCTTGTATCCGGAACAGAATTTTGGATTGAAAAGTAGTTGTCGGAAGAAAAAGCTACCTTGGTGAATACCCCATTGATTGAGAGAAACTTTCCACGGATCGAGAGCTCTACAGAGCTGGTCCATTCTTGCTCGACGACAATAAGAGTAACTTGAAATTGTTCGTTCGTATGGGTCTCGTAGGAAAGTAAAATAAGCACAGGGCCTAGAGAGATCGTCACATACACCGAAAGAATAATCTCCCATTAATGCGTCAAATTTATAGTTTTTTCTCAATGATACGCGAACGCAATCAGTCAGGACATGCCAAATGCGTTTACCCACTTTGGGAAACGCTTTTAGCATACAGTTTTTTGTAGTCGTTCCTGCTGCTTTGTTGTTATGGACGTATACAGCTACTGCATCACGATAAGAACCGTTGATTTGATTTGATGACATTGTAAAATAATTTGGTAATACGTTTTGTTGCCTCACCCAAGGCAGTTTAGCTAGCACTGATTCGAGAGGATCCTGGTTTGATTTGTTATTAGATGATGGTGTTATTTGTTCCTGTGTATAGTTGGTTTGATTTGATACACTCACTGATTGATGCGTTGCTGAAACTAGGACGCCATATCTAATCGAATATATGCTTGCCCTGGAAAAAACGAGTGTAAAATTTGTCAATATAGGACTGTTCATGATTAACGTTGTATTCCCTCATGCTTAGGGTACAAAAACGTTTCACGGTCGGTTCATCATCTGATTTTTTTTTTGTAATTAAAACGTAATTGTATCAACCTCACCACTCACGTTAAGGGAAATAATGATAATATAGTGGCCTATAACAAATAATGATATGGTAATTAAAATAATATAGCCTAATATTATTATACATAATTAATAATGATAATAATAATTGATTATTATGATGATAAGTATACCAGTGATTCAACTGATACTTTGATATTGATTAAATAACTAAAAGTAGAGTATATAATATCAAATATTAAAATAATAATAATCATAATGAGTTACTATTCAATTTTATCTATTAACAGTGCAACCATTATTTTGAGACAAAAATTGAGAAATACATACCTTATATGGTTGTCAGATATGTGTGCTGTTTCTTGAGTTGGCTTTAGTTGATCATATTCGATGTCGTTCCATAAAATATGTAGGCCTAATAGGAAAAGCAAACACACCACTATGCAACTTTGTACCACACCATCTACTAATTTCCTTTTATAAATTTTGCAAGACATCCCAGACAGTTAGAAACAGACCTACATGTTCGCTAGCGTCAAATTCCAATACACGGCAACGATTGTTTACCTAAAACATCCTCTGAATCAGCTGTCTGGTCATTTTCGAATTGTCGATAAATCCTCGTGGTGGCACTATCGGCTTCCGAGGTGTGAAATCGCATCTTCAAATAACAAATTAGTACAATAACTACCAGATATAGTTTCAGGTAAGTTATAACAATATATACAATAATGTTATGAAATCAATATCGATTTCCTGAAATTATTAATGGAAGCATCCAAGTGGAAACAGTTTTGGACTAATTGTATTTCCATGGAACATTTCCTTGGTATTTCCGTCTAGTTAATTAAGAAACATGTAATTAAGTTGGACCATAATCTTGTGGTTATGTATGTATATTATAGTAATAAACACCCTACAATTTAATATTAATAATGCTGATGATGATAATAGTAGTAATAATAATAATAATTATAATAATAATAATAATAATAATAATAATAATAATAATAATAATAATAATAATAATAATAATAATAAAATAACCAAAACGTAAATAAAAATGAATTCAAGTGGTGAATTACACAATGAGCAGAATTCAAATGGTAGATAAGAGGAAGTTTGTAGATATAAAATTATTATGATTATCCCAAATAACCAGGGAAATTTTATGCTTAGCTTACTAATAATATTGTCATATTACATTTTGTAAGGTGATATTGTGATTGATCAAAAATCAGGCTTATTATCTTATACTACCTATTAATAAAACTAACAATTAAACGATGTTTTTCTTCGCGAGCAAACGAAACTTTATCTGGGCGGGTTTGAAAATGCATGGATATCTAACCAAACATACTTTATTTAAAAAGCAGTCTCACCTTTCCCAGACAATTCTAAGCTACTAAATTACTAATTAGAAATAGGGTAGTTACTTTGTAATAATAATAATAATAATAATAATAATAATAATAATAATAATAATAATAATAATAATAATAATAATAAAAATAATAATAATAATAATAATTATAATTATAATTATAATAATAATAATAATAATAATAATACTTAAAATACAATAAAAATATTACCTATTATGTATAATAAAACAATATCCATTAAACTGATACATTGTTTGATTATGGCTTTGTAAAAACATGTTATGGTAAACCTTTTGGTTGTCAAATCAAACACAGATAGAACAATGTGTAAATTTTGATTTAAGTTTGCCATCCTCTCTTGCTGATTTTAAGATAACCAATCATGCTAATATTTTATATGTATACAGTCATTTATGCAGTTGTTTTTAGTAACAGAGGGCGTGTTGTAAGACATCAAACCAACCTTTTGTCGTCAATTAGAAACGATTTAAGTTCTAGAAATTTTTCTAGATTTAAAATCTAGATTCCGAAGATTTAAATGTTTAAAAAGATATCGCAAAATATAGAAATAAGTGGTATCACCTGTTTTAGTTTTGTTTTGTTAACTGTATACACACAAGACTTGAACAGAAACTGTACAGTAAATTGTATGCAGTTAAATTATAGCTTTTGAATAAAAGTCGTTATATATATATAGGACCTATATACAAGCAATATTATCAAAGAGATACATAAACAGATATACAAACCATTTTTCAAATAAGACTACTCAGCCGTCGTGAGAGCACATCGTCTCCTCACTGTTGAACAGTTTAATAACCTTGTACTGGGCTGGTTGATAGTTATCAGTGTATTAGACTAAAATATCTCTATTTACGATTAAATGACAATTTGTCTCGCCATACATTAGTGTTAGAACTTACTAGGTAAGTAGTAGTCATACTCCTTGGTGTCATAGCATTTCAATTACACTTATTTTAAAAAAGATCTAAGTTGTGATGTGCAGACTAGGAAACAATAATACACGAAAGTTTAAAAGTCTAATGAGCAGTTTATTAGTTTTTGAACAAGTATTCTCTTTGGTGCAATGTTATATTCAAAGTGTTTTGAACATTGTAGGCCCAATATTACTTTACATTTTTAAATTATTGTGTTAGATTTATTAACACAGATGTACTTAGTTTTATGCAATTTAATTACAACAATTTTTTTCGTCATAATTTGTTTGTAATAATTTATTTGTGGTTATTGTGTATTGCCTTTTCTGGTAAATGAATCGGATAAACATGTATTTTAATGCTTAAGCTCTACCACTACCTTACACCTTGCTTATATTTGTGTGGAAATATATTAAATAAATATGATAGGAAAAAAAACCGGCAAGGATATGTTATTATATTAATTAAAAAATTATACGACTGTCGAATATTTTACCATACTTATTTAGGCCCTACCTTAGATTTATTCCAATATACTGGAGGTTCTCTTACCATATCACACGGTTACAAGCCATGTTTTAACGTTGCTGATCCAATATATAATGAGGCTGCATCGATGAAGACGCAACAATGGTATAATAT